TTAATTAAACAAAAAACATATTTAAGTAATGATAATTAAATGAGAATGGTGGTACAGTGATAGTAAAATACATAAATGTTTTCATTTAAAATGTACAATTCAATTTGAATGAAGTATATGTAATGATTGTGGAAGAAACGCACAAAATGTATTTGTAACCAATCAACATGCTTTCTACAAGATGTAACAAAGGATGATTCTTTTTTTGTGTTTTTGTTTAATTAAAACAATAAAACTTTTCAAAAAAAAAAAGAAGTGGCTGGGAGGGGAGGGCTGTTGCAAATAGTTTAACAACCGATTCTCTACCCTAATGACCAGCTGGGTAGGTATGGCTGGGGCGTTATGTGACTAGGAGGGAGGGAGTGATGTCAAGTTGGCCACACCCACCCAGGTTTTGTGGCTCCCAGTGTTGTTTTTTTCTGTGAGAAATGGGTCCAAATGGCTCTTTGAGTGTTTACAGTTGTAGACCCCTGCTCTAGTCTATTAGAAGTTTGTCTGTATATTTAACATATACACTGCCATTCATGGTCACAAATTTTTAAACATAACATAATTTAACATAAATCTTAAACATAATACAAGAGGATCAAATGATAAATACCTTGTGTTAATGACTAAAAATAAGAAAAAAAATATCTATGCACAGTGAAAAGAGTCAACTAATGTGTGCCTGGAAATGGAAATGTAGGTTTCATTTTTAAAGAAATATGTAAAATGTATTTCAAAAGTAGAAAATAATATAATTGTGAGTGCATACAAAATTGTTGTGAGTGCATACAAAACTATTAACAGCCATTGAAACTATAGCTCATGTGCTGCTATACTGCATCGTACTCAATTTATAACATCTTACTTAATAAAATGTGAAATATTGATCTTTTTTACGACCAACTACTGTTATAAGAGCAGTATGAAGTAGTTTTTCACTTATTTTTAAAGAACCTTTTATCCCAATCTCTGAACTACTTCTTCTTTCTTTTTGTGACTTTTTACTGTGCCATTTGTTGTACCCTCTTCAGGATTTCCTTTTGTCTCCTTGCCCTATTTTCCCTTTTTCTTTTCTTATTATATTTCCCCCCCTTTCTTTGTGGTACCTGTCTGCTCAATTCTCTTCCCTTCTTTTTTCCTCGCCTTTCTTTTTTTTGTTGTGACATGCAACTCCCTTTTCTATCTATTTATCTACTGTTTCATGGTGCTTTACAAAGCCTCTCTAAACAGTTTACAGAGTCAGCATATTTCCCCCAATACTCTGGGTCCTGATTTTACTGACCTTGGGAAGATGAAAGGCTGAGTCAATCTTCAGCCAGTCAGGATGTGAGCAGAATTAGCGTGCAATACTACAGGGCGGGGCATAACCTTTTCCTAGGGGGTCACAGCAACACTTGTAATAACAACACAAATAATTCATACACCATTCGAAAGCCCNGGGTGTCCCGCCAAAAGCGGGACGTCTGGTCACCTTATATAACACCCTTGAAAGTGAACATGTGCTACCACAAGTGAAAACCTAACAAAGAAAATACCCTGAAACACAGTATATAAAAACAAAAATCTAAAAGGGGGATAGAGATTTGATGGGTGAAGTAAATAGCAAACTTTATCATAGTATAGAACACTTTAAAATGATAAACCAAATGCCCCTTAAGATTTCTTCTGACATATTTTGAGGACTGCACATTGAACATGAAAACATACAGTGGATTTAAAAAGTCTATACACCCCGTGTTAAAATTCTAGGTTTTGAGATGTAAAAAAATCAGGCCAAGATAAATCATCCCTCATATTAAAGGAATAGTTTGAAGTGATATTTTAAAAGGATAGTTTCAGGCAATAGTTGAATATGGTCACAGTTTCATGAGTTCTGTCTCTAATCTTAAAGTGGCATTAGAGACATATTTTGGGACTTGAGGCAATTTTAGAAATTTGTATTGAGCAAGTGAAATTAGAGAATGGGACAAGCTGTGCACCATAAAGAAGCTCTGCTAGTGACTTGACTTTAAATAATTTAAATGCTACATTTATAGGAGTTGAACATTATTCTTCCCAGTAGTGGGAACTTAACTTGTGCATCATGTGGATTTAACAATCTCAATATTTATTTTAAGGAGAATAGAGAAAATTATTTCTACTGTCGGTTGAATAATCCCTATGTCCACTTAATCCCTATATCCACTTAGTTTAGGAAAACTGAAGGAATACTTGATAACCTTTTCAATAAGCCATTTTGATTGAAAACCATTTTTTCACTTTAAACTTGTTATTATTAGGGTTATGCTGTGAATTGGTGTGAACACCAAGTCTGATGTAGAATAAAACAGTTCAGAGTTCCTTGAGTTAAGACAGTTACCTAACTCATCCTGCCTTTTTGAAGATTCTCAGTAGAATTCCATTATGTAATTTGCCTATGCTGTATAAACACTTTTGAATGTGCAATATTTCTGCATAAATACAATAAAACATTATCTATTCTCCACAGAAGTCCTAAAATTAGATGAAGAGAACCCAACTAAAGAATTGAGCACAAACATTACTCTTGCACATTTATTTACTGATAACAAATTTCCAAAGCTGGATCATCATAATATTTGGCAGTTAAGCGTAGGGCATCACTATCATATTTGGCAGATGTATGTATCATATAAAAATACTTTTTACTTCTTCAATTTTCTACCTAATTCTGTATTAGCTAGATAGCAAAAAAGCTGAACCAATTTATTTTAATGGAAAGAAATTTCAAATTAAAAAATCCAGTGTTCAGTGTCTTTATCCCATTGTCACTGAACCTTCTCAGTTTATTCAGTTTTTTTTATTTCTCTTCTCCCCAATTATTTCCTTCCTTTTACAAGTATAGAATTGCAGTTCTTACATTTCAGTATTTAAAATATTTTTTCAGCTCAACTAGTTTAATTTAGTCTTCCTTTCTTTATCATTTTCTTTTTCTGGTAAACTATTAATTGAGAAAAGTTGTTCAATGGACATACTTGTCTTCCTTGTTAACTAGCAGTTTACTACTAGTAGTAGTAGTCTGGTAGAATTGTAATAGTATTCCTCCTTCATCCCATTTTGGCTATATTGATGAGTATCTTACTATACTATATATGACATATTAGACAGTATCACATCAGTATCAAGGATGAGGAGATAAGCTGAGTATAAATTGTAGTCAAAACTTTAAGAATGCTGCTGAAGTGGCTTCAAGAAACAGTTGGTATCAGAAGATTATGTAATTAATCACTGCATTGATTTCTCTGCACCGACATGAAATTTGACATTCTTCATCCTCTCACAACTGTCTAATATTTATGCAAAGTTAGTTTCTTTTGAAAACATCTGAAGATTTTGCCTTATTTCAGGGAAGGCAAATACATTTTTAGATTTGTGGGATCAAATAAAAAGTTCTAGATGTGCTGCCACTGCAAAATTAAATATTTAAATCTGCATAATCTTTCCTCCCCGAAGAATAATATTTTAAATAGTTTAAAAGTATAATAGGGATTATTGGAAGAAAAATACCATTGTTCCTTATTCCAAAGGCTTTCAATTCTTGGGAAGCATTCTCTACCCTTAGCATTTGGAGGAGGACTTATTGCATTTGGGAGTCAGTTATTTAAATGGATAGATCAACAAAAATTGAAAAATACAGTATATTAATAATGTTGACAAATCATCTTACAAATAAATGACAATTTCTCTAATATATTATTATTTTATTAGTTAAGACATGAACAAAACTACCTTTTCTTGAGGAATAAAATAATTGGAATCTGTTGGCACCAAGCATCAGTTTAATAGAAGGAAACAATACTTGTGCCAGAAATCCCGTGTAATTATTTTTATTTGTAAATCTATTCAGGCCACCAACTGCTGGGGGTTCTTCTTCTACTCCCAGAACACAGAAGGCTATTGTCAATCACCCTAGTGCTGCCCTCATGGCTTTAAGGAGGGGATCACGAAACCTCGTTTTCAGAGATTTCACAGTAAGTAGGATGAATATAAAGATATACTGGAAAGAAATAGTTATGATATTGATACTAAAACTTGTTTTTTTTCTGACTTAGGATGAAAAAGAGGGACCAATTACTAAACACATCCGACTAACAGCTGCCTTAATATTAAAAAATATTGGTAAATATTCAGAATGTGGTCGCAGGTGAGTAGATTATCTCTAATATTTACTCATGCAAATTTTCAGAGATGACAAATGTAATTCCTAAACATTAGTAAATACATTGTACCAGCTTGGAATTTCCTTTTCTCTTTTTGATCTATTCTGACATTTAAACTTCCTGTTCATTTTCTCTTTCATAGTTGTGTAAAAAGGGGTTGGAAAAGAGTTGTTTTAATTAAGGTTACTTGGATTTTGGTGTAGGTTTTAATGTATGTTTGTTCCTTCTTTTTTCCCCCTCCCCTCATTTTTTTTTGTATGTATATGGATATTTTCACATACTTTTTCAATTATCTACTATTATTCCACCCAGCAAAAGTGCATGTCTATATATTCAGAATTGGATTCATTGGCATAATTTTAGAAGATGCTTGAGATGAGCAATTCCCTCATTTTCTTCTTTATTGCCTGATCTGTAATGCAATATTTTTCTCTGTGGTGGTCTAATGTTTTGGTAATAGTGAGACCATAATAAATTGTCTCCTTTCAATATTTAATACTTTTTCTTAAGAAAACTTAGTGCAGGTAGTCCTCAGCTTACAACCACAAATGAGTCCAAAATTTCTGATGCTAAGTGAGACATTTGTTAAGTGAGTTTTGTCTCTTTATGACCTTTCTTGCCATAGTTGTTAAGTGAATCACTGTAGTTGTTAAGTTAGTAACACGGTTGTTAAGTGAATCTGNGTTACTTCTCTAGCCAAAGTATTTCCTGGAGCTCTATGGTACTGGGTCATCTTTTCTTATAAAAGTAAGTAAAACTGGCAGGGGGGGCTGTTCCATTTTGTTGGTTTAACATTTTAATATCTTCAATGAAAGTACTGAGACATAGAGAGAGGTTAGACAGAGTGTCTTTTGTCTTTCCCCGGTTAGGATTTCTTAAGCAAATCCACTGCGCTTTCAACTTGAAGCCAGAAAATCGGGACTTTTTAAAAATGCCCCGGGACATGGGACAAATTGTTAGAAATCATGACTGTCCCACCAAAATTGGGACGTCTGGTCACCTTAAGCTACAGCCTTAAACAAAAATGAACCTGAGTGGCCTCTTTCTGTCTGCTGATGACATGGGCTAATTGCTTATTGGAAGCTCCAGGAGAAAAAGAAATTGAGCATCACTGGTGAAAATTTAAATCATATTTGGTCAGACATGAATAAAAAAAAGTCAGGTTCTAGTCTGCATTGTGGTAATTTGAGCAGTAAGCTATTTAAGCAAAGGATGAGCATTGAAGAATATTGGGATCCAATAGGGGAGAACCACACTGGTGGTGGCTACTAAATTAATTCCTCCTCCCCATCATCCTTGCTTCAAAAACCTTTTGTTCTCATATTACTGTAATCTCATTGTTTTCTTTTTTCATTGTTCTATTGTTCCATTATTTTACTATTGTGTGTTTATGCTTCTTTTCCTTTCTCTGTTTTTATTGTTGTAAAGTACACTGAGGTGGAAAACAAATGTAACAAATATATAAATAAATAAGCATTTGTTGAACTGCTTGTAATATTTTATGTTTTATCAACACCAAACCCTGCATATCCAATTGAACTTTTGCAAGTTCTGTTCAGGTGCCTTGGGCTATATCTTACAGCTTTATCTGGGATGGGTTGAACCTACTGAGTCCATGGAAAGGGACAGGATTCTTCATGATGCCAGTGCTGTCACTTGTCTTCTGGATCTTTGTTTTTCCTGGCTTGTGAAGACTGCAATCATCCTTGTCACCTTGCAGTCCTCCACCGCTGCTGATCTTCATCTTATCTTTCTCCTGCTTTTGATGGGGTGTGCCTGCCTGGATCTTCAAGAAAGCAGCTGCTGGCCCCATGAGGCTATCTTCCCCAAGTTTCATGAATAAATTTTTATACGTGACCTTGGGAAGAAAGCCTCTTGAAAACAGCAGCAGGACCAAGAAAGTGATAAAGATCAGTTAAGGCAGCAGGGGCTATAGAATGAAGGGGCTCAAAAAAGCATAGATAAGGGGGAAATGGTTGCTGGCAAGTGATTAAGTGCAGTGGGTTGCCAAGCACCTAGATTTTTATCACATGACCTCTGAGTCACTGCAACAACCATGACTTTGGGGAACAGTCATAATATCCTTATTTCAGAATCACTGTAACATCAAATAGTTGCTGAACAAATGATCATAACTGAAGACAACCTGTAATCATGTATTAGAATAATCTTCTGTGGCTTTTTTCTGATTGGCTGCCAATTAACCATTAACCTCAGGATGAGAAGTTTTAGTTTCAATTGAAGGTTCTTCAAAATTCTTTGTATTATTATTATTTTAATCCAGAAACCCTTCTTGATCACAGCCCCATTCATTGGAAAGTTGTTCCTCCTAAGATCAGGGAGGCTGTATCTACCTAATTTTTAAGAAAGCATTTAAAGACTGTTTATTCCAGAAGTCCTTGGATGTAGAGATCTGGTGAATGCACAATATTTGATTGTTTATTCCTCTGAATGTCGAGTAAATGCAAATAATTTACCCCTTTATTTTCACTGTATTTTTTGATATGCTGTTTTTAATCCTTTTGATTACTCTCAGGATATTTATGAATTGCAATGGCATAGAAGCCTCAGTAAAGTCAAAACAAATCAGAATTATGGGAGCATCCTCAAAAATTCACTGAGAAAACAACAACCAGAAAAAAGACGAATGATTTTTTTTCTCTTTTCACTTATTATGCAATGATTTCTGAATGAACTAATGAAAGATTCATTAATGCTACACAAGACTTCTTGTCCTCCTTCTAATAAAGAGATTTGTTCTTTTAGAGACCGTGCTGTTTAGTTGATAAGAAGAAAATGAGATGGTAATACAAAAGGGATTTTAACCTAATTACAGTGGAGGCTAAATAATAATTTAAAGGTCTTAGATAATAGTAATAATAAAAAAGATTAATTAACTATTAAACTAGGCAGCCATTACCTCCTTGCCCCATAGATGATATATATTTAATTAAATTCCCTTCATGAAGACTTAAAATGAGAACTGCCATTTCCTGCTGTGGGCCAATTTCCATTGCTTTGCTGTGAATAAAAATCACTGTTATATACATAGATATTAACTGTTTCACATATCTAAATATTACTGTTCATATACTATTTTTGTAAAAATCTAAAATTTTACGATAATTTTGTAGAAGAATATTTCTATTGGTATTGAACCACTTTCCCCCTCCCTCCTTTGCCAGCTCATGAAGACCCAAAAAAATGCAACCAATAGTAGAAAATAAGCAGAATATAGTGCAACAAAGATGAGGGCAGAATTTGAGTAGCATCTGGTTTTCAAATAAAATATTAGGTTTACTTTAGGTAGAATCTTGTCAAAATTCAAAGATAATGCTTTATCAAACAGAGAAATGAACAAAATATATATCATTGCGCTGTTGTCCATTAGCAGCATATTGTCAGCCAGCCTTGGGGAAGCTTTATATGGCAGGTTGAGCACTGCATTTCCAAAAGTGTGCAATCTGGTTGGAGGTGATACATTAGAATTCTTAAAGAGACAAAAATATATTAATCATTTTCAAGGTAAAGTGAACTAATATTGGTCCTTACTCTCCCTAAGCCTAAGAAAAGAAGCACGGGAGTGGGAGTCCAACCCAGTGGTAGAATTACAATTTTTTTACTACTGGTTCTGTGAGTGTGACATGGCTTGGTAGGTGTGGCTTAGTGGGCATGGCAGGGAAAGGATACTGTAAAATCTCCATTCCCACCCCACTTCCTCCCAATCAGCTGGGACTCTGGAGGCAGAGAATAGATGGGGGCAGGGCCAGTCAGAGGTAGTATTTACTGGATCTCCAAATTACTCAAAATTTCCACTGGAAAGAGAATTCTAATAAGTTGGGGGTTTTGACCCCCTGTTTTAGACAGCTATTACTTAATTGTTTTTTCTTTTGTATTCCTATAAAAGTGCATGATGCCTTTGCTGTGTTTGGAAAATTTCTAGTATACATACTATACACATTTCAACATGTATTCCAAAAGATGTCATATGCTTTGTTTTTTGTGCCATGATTATTCATGTTTACCAGGCAATCACTTGTGTTAAATTAAATGGGGTTTCATTCTCTCTTTATAGTTCTTGTTCACTGGGATTAGATGCAAAAATTAAATCCTTTTAAGACAGATGTTGAGTTAGGAGAACACAAGAAAATACAGTTGACATCTTGTTACTTCTCTCTCCAATTTTGGAATTTTCCATATTTACAATATACTGAACTTTCCATCTCCTTTCCCCTTTTCCCTTGTTCTTGAGAAATTTTAGGGACAGTTCTATAATTACACACCAGTTGTTGTTTCATGCTATTCATAGTCTCTTGAATATATAATCTCACAGTAATTAATTTCAAAGGGATAGCCTGTGGGTCAGTTGCAGCAAAACCCACAAGTCCAGTGATAGATTAAGGGCTACTAAGATTAGTAGAGCAGAATGTTTTGTGGAGTAGATGTTGTGAAATAAATGAAGCATCATTTTCAATTGAGAAGTATCCTACGAGATACATGAATATAGAGGAAAAATTGTTAACAAAAGTGCACACATTTTTTCCCATTTTCAGGTTCAGCCACATATAAATGTATATACACCCACATATAACAGACCTGGGCTAGATATGCAATGTATATAGCTAAAAATGGACAAGTACTTTTAGATGAACCACAGTGGTGCAGTGGTTAGAGTGCAGTACTGCAGGCTACTTCTGCTGCCTGCAGGCTGCCTGCAATTTGGCATTTCAAATCTCACCAGGCTCAAGGTTCACTCATCCTTAAGGTGACCAGATTTTCAGATTGGAAAAGAGNAGATAACAGTCAGCTGAAGTGGCCTGCAGTACTGCACCCTAACCACTGCGCCACTTCGGCTCTATAAAAATGTGATATTCCTAATTCTTAGTACTTACTATCTTTGAAGTCTGAGATGCAAGGGAAGTGTACGTGTGTTTGCACAAAAATAAAGAAACAGATGTGGAGGTTGTTCAATTGAGCTTGACAG